GGCGGTTATGGGCCACAATTGCTCTAGCATTGTTTGGGCATTTCTGATTGGTTCAGACTTCAGATTGTCTGGTGGTTTGTCGAAAAACCACCCCAATCTGTATTATGCCAGTACTTCCTAGCAGTTGTGAATGTCAACATGGCCTAGTTGTCCAATGCTGGTTGGTGCCAACTTAGTCTAGGTAGTTGGGTTGTAACTGCTATAGTTACATATAAATAGGTTGTTAGGGTCTGAAGATTCCCAAGAGAAAAATGGTAGACGATTTGTACCATACCCTTAGCCGGATTCTTTTTATACTTGTCTGAGAAGTAAATTGCGTGTGCCTGCCTTGTGTTTGTTGAATTGCCCGTGAGAACCTCTTGAATGTGTTGGCTGAGACCAAGTGCCATCATAGAGGCAAAAATTCATGAGTGGTTTTGACCCGGTTCATCGGGAAAGTCACAAATATGTCTCCACATACACTTAATTCATTCCACATACAATTTGAAATATAAGAATTGTTTTTGTTCAGTGTCTGAAGATAAACTTGCTATTAAAGTGAGGACCCTCTACAGTTTCTGACCACTAGTTTGAAAGACCACCTTGTTTTTATATCTTTCCTTTACCTGCCTGGCTACCTATATACCGATATGATTCAGCCTCTTGCGTATAGTTTATTAACTTGTTGCCATAGTCTAGTGGGAAAGATAAAATGAGTTGGACCAAAAAGAGAAACCCGGTTGAAGTGTGTCTTGACACTCCAGTTGGCATGCTCTGTTGATATTTAGGATTGCTTTTATTGAAAATGACTATATATGATCTTGGTTGGCTTCGGATTTTCAAATTATCTACTTACATACATAATTAGTTAGTAACTTAGATAGCTAAAAAGAAGAAGAGAATTAGATGTACACCAACTTTAGTTTCTCTTTTTATGAACATTATATAGTAACAGATTGGTTGTTAACTTTGTTGCAGATCACTAGTATTAAGTCTCTTTCAAGCCCAGCTGAAAAGGTAACTTGAACTATAAGGGGTACTTCTCTTTCTAAATCACCTTAGAAGTGCCACACCGTTGTGAACTAGAAGCATCAACAAACACATGAAATAAGGATTGATAAGAAAATTTATCAAATGAAAGAATGTTCTAACCTATCTTATCGGAAATCTTGCTGCAAAGTAGCGGTCAATACTATACAACTCTACCGAGTGTATTCTAAATGGCACCTTTCGTTCAAAGATTCACACATTGTATCTAAATCATTAGTCTCGCTTGGCTCGTGGCTAAGTCAAAGATGTCTTGGACGACTCTAGCAGAGTTGTCCAAGTTTTATCTTCTTTGAATTGTAGAGTATATCTTAATGTGATATTGTCATTCACCTAGAGATACCTAGGTGTGATCATTCGCCAAGAGATAATTGGACAAATTTAAGCATGGTTTTCAACCTTTTAACAAGAGACAAACAAACAAAGAGAGCTAATAGAGCTTTTGTAGCTTTTTTTCACTCATTAGATGGGACAATCACACATGAGTTAGATCGTTTTGTATTTGAATATTAATATGGACTTGGCTAGCTCAATAATTAAACCCACTTAACAATAAGCCCAACAATTTGGACCGGTAAAATCATGATTGGAATTAGGATCTTACACGATTCGAATCTCGATCAGATTCTATGAACGAGCGAATGTTCAAGAGACTTGGATGGATTTGCCCATACTGAATCACAATGTGGATAGAAGATATTGTCCGATTCATTCTACTACATTGTATCCAATGTGTTTTGGTGCTAGGTTGATGACTGATATTGAGACCTTGGACTATGTTGAAAATTGATTGTCCTAGAAGAAAACAAGGATAAAATAGACGANTTGATGACTGATATTGAGACCTTGGACTATGTTGAAAATTGATTGTCCTAGAAGAACACTATTCAACAAGGATAAAATAGACAANGGTTGATGACTGATATTGAGACCTTGGACTATGTTGAAAATTGATTGTCCTAGAAGAAAACAAGGATAAAATAGACGAAAGCTTATAAACCTCCTTGTTGTAGAGGTTCCTTATGAAATTTAAATTCCTATTTATGGGAAAAGAATAGAAGTCTGTCAAAAAGCAATTGGAACATAAGACAACGGGACAATTGTTATAGTCAAAGAAATGAGAATGAGAAATCCCTACCACATCTCCATTCATCTTCTTAAACTCTAATCAATTGCCCATTCTAATGAAGTTTATATGCTGGGAAAACCACATGGGAATCCCAATGTCCCCCTATAATTCGTACTTACTTTTAGTCCCTTTATGCCACAAAGAATCACATTCAATTGAGAATCTACACAACCACTTACTCATTAAGGCAGTGTTCCTAACCTTAGGGTTCCAACATTAAATCCACCTTTATTCCTAGGGTGAGAGACAATTTTCCACTGCACCAAGTGGTCTTTCTTTCATTCACCACTTTCTGCTACATAAAGTTTGTTGTCATTCTTTCAGCCCTATATGCCATATTTTAAAAAAGACATATAAAGTACATGGAAATGCTTGATCCAAGAATTAAAATTTTGTTTCGGTGTATTATTTCAGTCACATAGGAAACGAAACTTTTTCAGAAACAACGTGGAAACAAATACAAATTTTGAGAGTTTATTTCCAAAACATTGGTCAAAATATACCAAAATATTTTGAGACAATAGTAGAAAAATGTTCAAACATCTCACAACATTTTGAAACACCACAAAATATTGAAATTTTGATTCCATCACTATTTCATTTTGACCCTCTTGGAAATGAAAATGTTTCGGATGTTTCGAAATGAAATTTTGATCCTTGGCTTGACCTCCTTTACTTAAGTTTCTTCTTCTTTTTCCTTTTTGCTTTTGGTCCTATATCATCCACCCAATCCCAAATTTCCCATCCACATGTCAACTACATGAACAAACCCCCTCCATGAGCAGACTTGATAGAAGCTACATAATTTTTCAGCCTAAAGCACACCTAACACACCACCTTTGGATCCACATTTGTGTATATATGGGCTAGTGATCGGAGTTCATGCNTTGAGAGTTTATTTCCAAAACATTGGTCAAAATATACCAAAATATTTTGAGACAATAGTAGAAAAATGCTCAAACATCTCACAACATTTTGAAACACCACAAAATATTGAAATTTTGATTCCATCACTATTTCATTTTGACCCTCTTGGAAATGAAAATGTTTCGGATGTTTCGAAATGAAATTTTGATCCTTGGCTTGACCTCCTTTACTTAAGTTTCTTCTTCTTTTTCCTTTTTGCTTTTGGTCCTATATCATCCACCCAATCCCAAATTTCCCATCCACATGTCAACTACATGAACAAACCCCCTCCATGAGCAGACTTGATAGAAGCTACATAATTTTTCAGCCTAAAGCACACCTAACACACCACCTTTGGATCCACATTTGTGTATATATGGGCTAGTGATCGGAGTTCATACCTTTTCATTTTAAAGATGCTTGGTTTATTAATGACCTGAATTTGGAAACTACTCTCATTCCTTGGTAATTTGAAAGCATGATTCTTTTATGGTTTTCATCAGTATTGTTAATAGTGCGCCTAGGCCTGAGGCGCAACTAGGTCTGGGGGTAGCACTTCAAGGACTCTAGGCAAGGTGAGTGTAAGAAAGCTCGAATTAAGCACAAAAAGTGTGTGCTTTGGGTTTAGGCTCAAGTTGCTTGAAGCCACACTTCTATTTGTTTTTGAAGTTTTTTTTTGGTGATGCATTCTAGACGACAAGATCTGTTGATTAGAATACTTCTATCATATACTACTAGACTTGATTTTAACTCTTGGTCAAGGGACTAAATTGCATTTTAAAACAGTTGAAATGTCCGAAATGTTTTTGTTTCCATGGAGATCGAGACGAATCATTGATTGAATATCAGAATTCCTATGTTTCGAGTTGTTTCGATCCATATTTTGAAATGTTTCGACCAATGTTTTAAAAATAAATTTTCAAATTTTTCTTTGTTTCCATATTGTTTCTGAAACATTACCGAAACATTTTTGTTTTCAAGCTCACCGAAACTGTGCACCGAAACGAAATTTTGATCCTTACACTTGGAGTATAAATACTTAACCTAAACCCTAACCAGTGTCTCAAACAGTAGGAGGAAGTAGACAGAGCAAACTCCTTTGGTGATGGTTATGGAACGTATGCTTAAGAATTTATGAAATGCTGCTGTTATGTAATTTTAATATCCTTAGGCTTCTTTGGTTGTGACTTGAAATTTAATATCCTGCCTGAAATATTTTTGATATAAGAAAAAATATTCATTTGTAATTTACAACATGTGCTTCGTTTGCTTCTCTTTGTGCCTTGTGCTTAGTTAGGCCCAAGAAGATAGTAGCGCTTCGGTCCGTATTACACCTTAAATAACACTGTTTTTTTATTGGTAATATAGGCAGACGGTTATTGAGATAAAACACCATTCTTATTTTCCACACTTTTGTTAGATGAGGAAGTGAATTGACTTGAGAACAATAGATATTGAGGGAGATAGCACGTGATTAGAAGGATATTGGAATTCCAATCTTCTAAAGAACAATCTCATTGTGAACATATATAGAACCGTAGTTGTCTTCAAGTTTCGAGATTTCAATAATCGGATTGGTTTCCTATTTAAAAGATGAGCTTTGGGTTTAGAGATTTTCTCAGATATGAGGGCACCCCTCTTACATTGCAGTTGATTATTTCCTGTTTTTATCTTTTTTTGTTCCCTGCTGGAGGTGAGCTCCTCTTGACCTTGGACATTATTATTCTTGTGGTACGCTTTGCTACATGAAAGTTTTGCCCTTGCAAAGCATCTAAAGTATTTGACATTGGAATATACCTAGTGGAAAATCATAAGATATTTGACAAAGTCTGCACTTCCAAGTATTTTGGACATGATGTTGGTTTGATCAATCCAATTTTATCTACTCGGGTATAATTTGTTGAGGCATCACTCAGCTAGGTTGTTTTTGTTTAATCAGGTAACCTGCCTGGAAGATTGGGCTTTTTTAGATAAAAACCACTCCATTTCTTTGCTTGGAGCAATTGAAGCTTTGAAGGCTTGCACTCTTCGTCTTCCTGTTGTTGGAGGAGCGATTGTATGTGCTTGGCATTTTTTTTTGCATAATTTCTTAAGTTCCCAGCGTATCCCCAAGTGTTCAGCACGTTGTTAGCATGAAGCTTAACAAGGATGTGTTGCTGTTAATTTTATCAGGGTGATATTCAAAGCTTGAAGGATGCTGTTGCTTCAGCTGTTGATGCGATGCAAGCAGTGGCATCCTCGATATGTTTAACATTGTCAAAGGTAAATCTCATTGGCTTATTTTGTAGGGCATACTTTTCCCTGGATGTTATTATTGTTGTTAACATTGTAAATGGAATGCTGTCAGCATGAACCAATTCTTCTGTGTTAGATATATTTATGCTATATAGACCATAAAGATTGACTTGAGAGTTGATGTATGATGTTTTGTCCATGGTGTATAACTACTGTTATATTTAGTAATCATTATTGTTTTGTAGTGTCTATTCCAAAATAGTTGGGAGAAGACTCGATTGAGTTGAGTGTTATTATTTTTTAGGTATTTGAAATGTCAAATATTGTTATTTGTTTNCACCACAAAATATTGAAATTTTGATTCCATCACTATTTCATTTTGACCCTCTTGGAAATGAAAATGTTTCGGATGTTTCGAAATGAAATTTTGATCCTTGGCTTGACCTCCTTTACTTAAGTTTCTTCTTCTTTTTCCTTTTTGCTTTTGGTCCTATATCATCCACCCAATCCCAAATTTCCCATCCACATGTCAACTACATGAACAAACCCCCTCCATGAGCAGACTTGATAGAAGCTACATAATTTTTCAGCCTAAAGCACACCTAACACACCACCTTTGGATCCACATTTGTGTATATACGGGCTAGTGATTGGAGTTCATACCTTTTCATTTTAAAGATGCTTGGTTTATTAATGACCTGAATTTGGAAACTACTCTCATTCCTTGGTAATTTGAAAGCATGATTCTTTTATGGTTTTCATCAGTATTGTTAATAGTGTGCCTAGGCCTGAGGCGCTACTAGGTCTGGGGGTAGCACTTCAAGGACTCTAGGCAAGGTGAGTGTAAGAAAGCTCGAATTAAGCACAAAAAGTGTGTGCTTTGGGTTTAGGCTCAAGTTGCTTGAAGCCACACTTCTATTTGTTTTTGAAGTTTTTTTTTGGTGATGCATTCTAGACGACAAGATCTGTTGATTAGAATACTTCTATCATATACTACTAGACTTGATTTTAACTCTTGGTCAAGGGACTAAATTGCATTTTAAAACAGTTGAAATGTCCGAAATGTTTTTGTTTCCATGGAGATCGAGACGAATCATTGATTGAATATCAGAATTCCTATGTTTCGAGTTGTTTCGATCCATATTTTGAAATGTTTCGACTAATGTTTTAAAAATAAATTTTCAAATTTTTCTTTGTTTCCATATTGTTTCTGAAACATTACCGAAACATTTTTGTTTTCAAGCTCACCGAAACTGTGCACCGAAACGAAATTTTGATCCTTACACTTGGAGTATAAATACTTAACCTAAACCCTAACCAGTGTCTCAAACAGTAGGAGGAAGTAGACAGAGCAAACTCCTTTGGTGATGGTTATGGAACGTATGCTTAAGAATTTATGAAATGCTGCTGTTATGTAATTTTAATATCCTTAGGCTTCTTTGGTTGTGACTTGAAATTTAATATCCTGCCTGAAATATTTTTGATATAAGAAAAAATATTCATTTGTAATTTACAACATGTGCTTCGTTTGCTTCTCTTTGTGCCTTGTGCTTAGTTAGGCCCAAGAAGATAGTAGCGCTTCGGTCCGTATTACACCTTAAATAACACTGTTTTTTTATTGGTAATATAGGCAGACGGTTATTGAGATAAAACACCATTCTTATTTTCCACACTTTTGTTAGATGAGGAAGTGAATTGACTTGAGAACAATAGATATTGAGGGAGATAGCACGTGATTAGAAGGATATTGGAATTCCAATCTTCTAAAGAACAATCTCATTGTGAACATATATAGAACCGTAGTTGTCTTCAAGTTTCGAGATTTCAATAATCGGATTGGTTTCCTTTTTAAAAGATGAGCTTTGGGTTTAGAGATTTTCTCAGATATGAGGGCACCCCTCTTACATTGCAGTTGATTATTTCCTGTTTTTATCTTTTTTTGTTCCCTGCTGGAGGTGAGCTCCTCTTGACCTTGGACATTATTATTCTTGTGGTACGCTTTGCTACATGAAAGTTTTGCCCTTGCAAAGCATCTAAAGTATTTGACATTGGAATATACCTAGTGGAAAATCATAAGATATTTGACAAAGTCTGCACTTCCAAGTATTTTGGACATGATGTTGGTTTGATCAATCCAATTTTATCTACTCGGGTATAATTTGTTGAGGCATCACTCAGCTAGGTTGTTTTTGTTTAATCAGGTAACCTGCCTGGAAGATTGGGCTTTTTTAGATAAAAACCACTCCATTTCTTTGCTTGGAGCAATTGAAGCTTTGAAGGCTTGCACTCTTCGTCTTCCTGTTGTTGGAGGAGCGATTGTATGTGCTTGGATTTTTTTTTTGCATAATTTCTTAAGTTCCCAGCGTATCCCCAAGTGTTCAGCACGTTGTTAGCATGAAGCTTAACAAGGATGTGTTGCTGTTAATTTTATCAGGGTGATATTCAAAGCTTGAAGGATGCTGTTGCTTCAGCTGTTGATGCGATGCAAGCAGTGGCATCCTCGATATGTTTAACATTGTCAAAGGTAAATCTCATTGGCTTATTTTGTAGGGCATACTTTTCCCTGGATGTTATTATTGTTGTTAACATTGTAAATGGAATGCTGTCAGCATGAACCAATTCTTCTGTGTTAGATATATTTATGCTATATAGACCATAAAGATTGACTTGAGAGTTGATGTATGATGTTTTGTCCATGGTGTATAACTACTGTTATATTTAGTAATCATTATTGTTTTGTAGTGTCTATTCCAAAATAGTTGGGAGAAGACTCGATTGAGTTGAGTGTTATTATTTTTTAGGTATTTGAAATGTCAAATATTGTTATTTGTTTTATATTTTTAAGCAAAAGTATCGATTTTAGTTGGAGTTTTTGTCAGTGATGATGTGAGCCTATGAGGGAATCACATTTTCTAAATTAATATGATTCTATACTAAAAAGCACGGACACANTTTATATTTTTAAGCAAAAGTATCGATTTTAGTTGGAGTTTTTGTCAGTGATGATGAGCCTATGAGGGAATCACATTTTCTAAATTAATATGATTCTATACTAAAAAGCACGGACATANACGAATCATTGATTGAATATCAGAATTCCTATGTTTCGAGTTGTTTCGATCCATATTTTGAAATGTTTCGACCAATGTTTTAAAAATAAATTTTCAAATTTTTCTTTGTTTCCATATTGTTTCTGAAACATTACCGAAACATTTTTGTTTTCAAGCTCACCGAAACTGTGCACCGAAACGAAATTTTGATCCTTACACTTGGAGTATAAATACTTAACCTAAACCCTAACCAGTGTCTCAAACAGTAGGAGGAAGTAGACAGAGCAAACTCCTTTGGTGATGGTTATGGAACGTATGCTTAAGAATTTATGAAATGCTGCTGTTATGTAATTTTAATATCCTTAGGCTTCTTTGGTTGTGACTTGAAATTTAATGTCTTGCCTGAAATATTTTTGATATAAGAAAAAATATTCATTTGTAATTTACAACATGTGCTTCGTTTGCTTCTCTTTGCGNGCTGTTATGTAATTTTAATATCCTTAGGCTTCTTTGGTTGTGACTTGAAATTTAATATCCTGCCTGAAATATTTTTGATATAAGAAAAAATATTCATTTGTAATTTACAACATGTGCTTCGTTTGCTTCTCTTTGTGCCTTGTGCTTAGTTAGGCCCAAGAAGATAGTAGCGCTTCGGTCCGTATTACACCTTAAATAACACTGTTTTTTTATTGGTAATATAGGCAGACGGTTATTGAGATAAAACACCATTCTTATTTTCCACACTTTTGTTAGATGAGGAAGTGAATTGACTTGAGAACAATAGATATTGAGGGAGATAGCACGTGATTAGAAGGATATTGGAATTCCAATCTTCTAAAGAACAATCTCATTGTGAACATATATAGAACCGTAGTTGTCTTCAAGTTTCGAGATTTCAATAATCGGATTGGTTTCCTATTTAAAAGATGAGCTTTGGGTTTAGAGATTTTCTCAGATATGAGGGCACCCCTCTTACATTGCAGTTGATTATTTCCTGTTTTTATCTTTTTTTGTTCCCTGCTGGAGGTGAGCTCCTCTTGACCTTGGACATTATTATTCTTGTGGTACGCTTTGCTACATGAAAGTTTTGCCCTTGCAAAGCATCTAAAGTATTTGACATTGGAATATACCTAGTGGAAAATCATAAGATATTTGACAAAGTCTGCACTTCCAAGTATTTTGGACATGATGTTGGTTTGATCAATCCAATTTTATCTACTCGGGTATAATTTGTTGAGGCATCACTCAGCTAGGTTGTTTTTGTTTAATCAGGTAACCTGCCTGGAAGATTGGGCTTTTTTAGATAAAAACCACTCCATTTCTTTGCTTGGAGCAATTGAAGCTTTGAAGGCTTGCACTCTTCGTCTTCCTGTTGTTGGAGGAGCGATTGTATGTGCTTGGATTTTTTTTTTGCATAATTTCTTAAGTTCCCAGCGTATCCCCAAGTGTTCAGCACGTTGTTAGCATGAAGCTTAACAAGGATGTGTTGCTGTTAATTTTATCAGGGTGATATTCAAAGCTTGAAGGATGCTGTTGCTTCAGCTGTTGATGCGATGCAAGCAGTGGCATCCTCGATATGTTTAACATTGTCAAAGGTAAATCTCATTGGCTTATTTTGTAGGGCATACTTTTCCCTGGATGTTATTATTGTTGTTAACATTGTAAATGGAATGCTGTCAGCATGAACCAATTCTTCTGTGTTAGATATATTTATGCTATATAGACCATAAAGATTGACTTGAGAGTTGATGTATGATGTTTTGTCCATGGTGTATAACTACTGTTATATTTAGTAATCATTATTGTTTTGTAGTGTCTATTCCAAAATAGTTGGGAGAAGACTCGATTGAGTTGAGTGTTATTATTTTTTAGGTATTTGAAATGTCAAATATTGTTATTTGTTTTATATTTTTAAGCAAAAGTATCGATTTTAGTTGGAGTTTTTGTCAGTGATGATGAGCCTATGAGGGAATCACATTTTCTAAATTAATATGATTCTATACTAAAAAGCACGGACATAGATATGGGATACGGACACGTCTACACAGAACTTTCAAAAAAATAGAACATGGACACGTTAAATATTATATATGTATATATATACATATAATCACGTGATAAAATAAATATAGGGTTAATAGTATTTTTGATCCCTAAAGTATGTATTTTTTGTTATTTTAGTCCTCAATGTATCAATTTTGTCAATTTGGTCCTCAAAGTATTTAATTCGTGTCATTTTGGTCCCTACATAGGTGGACCGTTAAGTTTTTTGACAGAAGTGGTCATTTGTCATTTTTTTCGACGAGATCATGTGCCCACCACATGATGATGCCGTCAAAATTTAACGGTTCATCTATGTAGGGATCAAAATCGCACGAATTGAATATTTTAGGAACAAATTTGACAAAATTGATACATTTAGGACTAAACTGACAAAAAATACATATATTAGAGATCAAAAACACTGTTAACCTATAAATATACTTTCATAATAATTTTTTAATTCATCATTTTCCTAATTCTAAAAATTTAAATTATTACATCACCGCATAAAATACAATACAAGATGCACCGATGCACATTGATGGGGATCATTTAGTAATTGAATAGATATTATAAATTAGTTATGAGAGTTATTTAGATACTTTTAATATTTATCTTTTAAGTATTTTCTTTTAACTTTTAAGGGTTTATTTGTAATTACTTATTTGTTTTAGAGTTTTAGTTTCCCCTTATAAAGGGATGCATGTAAGGATTTTATTTAGATTAGACTTTGATTATTATTGATATTGTTTCTTCCTTAAATTCTTTTTCTTTTCTCATCCATTTCTTCTTCTCTTCTCATCCTTAATTTTTATCTAATATGATCTATATCAATTTGGTATCAGAGCTAATACGATCTACATCAATTCGGTATCAGAGCTAATACGATTTACATAAAATGTTGAGTCACCACTTGTAATAAAACTTGGTGAAAAGTCTGCCGAGTCCACACTTATGAAATATGTCTAGCATATTGAGTTACCTATTTCAGAATTTTTTGGTGATTGTTTTGTGTCTCCTATTTCAAGTCAATCTAACTTTGTTCCCAAGTCTTTCCCCTCTAAAATAGTTGACTTTATTCCTACTATCAAGATTTCACTTGAGTTGGTACTTAATTATTTTTACCACCAAGACGTTATTGTTACTCCTTTGTCATCAATGTCTTATTCCATTGAATACTTTTTGTTAAAACCTAATAAGAATTATTTTGTTATTCTTGAGTTTGGATCTAATACTTATTTGCTTAATTTTTCATTGAATGTTAGTATTAGTCTAGATTTTTATTTGGAGGATATGCTACTTAATTGAGATACTCTAGAGCCATCTATTTTGTTATCAGGTGTTTTTACTGGTGGAATTGCTTCTTCCTCAGCATTAGTTCCAGTTCTTATCTTTCCACTTTTATCGCGTATTTCAGGGCAAATAGATGATGTGCTACGTGACCAGATTTACATTATTACAGATAGAGATTCTTGCATTTATTCTGATCGATGGAAAGATGTTGATGGTCTTTCATTCTAGATGAAGCGTTCTGTCACCTTCATTCTGCTCTCTTAGGGTACTTTTACTTTGAAAACTCTCCAAATGAGAGTTTTTCTCAATCGGGGGAGAATGATGGGGATCGTGTAGGAATTGGATAGATATTATAAATTAGTTATGAGAGTTATTTAGATACTTTTAATAATTATCTTTTAAGTATTTTTTTTTTTAACTTTTAAGAATTTATTTGTCATTATTTATTTGTTTTAATGTTTTAGTTTTTCTATATAAAGGGATGCATGTAAGGGTTTTATTTAGATTAGACTTTGATTATTATTCATATTGTTTCTTTCTCAAATTATCTCTCTTTCTTCATCCCCGTCTTATTTTCTCATCCCCTTCTCATCATTAATTCTTCCCTAATACGATCTACATCAATTTGGTATCAGAGTTAATACGATCTACATCATTCATTCATCATTAACATCCATGATCCAACAATCAATGAATACTACAAATTCTATTTTCAAAAATATTCCACTTCATAACATAGTTTTCATCACCTTACTTTCATACTAAAAGTTTATTCCATTTTTTATGGATTCTCTACGCACTCATATATAATATATTATATATAAATTGAACACAACTTTCCAAAAAAGCAAAATGAAGGAAATGATTTCTTCATTGAGCGCAAAACAAAATAAAAAAGAGAAGGGAAAACTACCATGTATGATCATCTACAATCAGGCCGGTTCATAAGCTAGATCATTTGAGTACCAAACCCACCCAAGTCTCGTTGAATTGGTTACTGGCCAATCTTTGAACCAACTGTTCAAATTGGACAGTTTTAGGCAATCCGGGTGGTTCATGGAATCCTATGGAAATTAGATTTTTGCCCAATATCGCTATCTACTTTCTCAATTTGATATCTCATCTTAGTGGCTCATCCTCTCTCGTCTCTCTAGCATGGCCTTTGCACTCTCAAACTCTCTTCGTCACTAGATCGTCTTAGCCTAGGAGTCACCACAATCATCGTGTCAAATATGTTTATTTTCATGGTCACCTTTCTCAAAGTCGATCGTCTCATGTCTTTGGCTTGAATCGAAGAAGGTGAACAATTTTGCTTCATTCTCTACATTTCCTTCNTAGCCTAGGAGTCACCACAATCATCGTGTCAAATATGTTTATTTTCATGGTCACCTTTCTCAAAGTCGATCGTTTCATGTCTTTGGCTTGAATCGAAGAAGGTGAACAATTTTGCTTCATTCTCTACATTTCCTGCACTTGATAGTTGACACAGGTACTTCATCGTCGTCTCTCTCATTCTCCCTCCCCCTCTGCTAGTCTCAATATTTGTACTCTTAGATAGTGATTGTTCATTGTTGTGTTCTACAATTGTATTTGTATGCTTGCAGTTGATTTTTTGCCTTTGGTTAATTATTTTGTGAATATCGAAGTTATTTCAGCAAAAAATTTGAAAAATTTTGGCCTATTTTTTGTCACTCATGTTGTTGAATTGTAATTTGGTATGGTATTTGTTTAAAGTTCAAATGAATTCAACTTCGAAGTCCCTATTTTTTCACACATCCCCGTCTAATGTCCTCATCTCATGTTTTTCCCATCTCCATCTGTCCGTCTCTTTCTCTCTCTCACTCTCTCTTTGATGCACTCTCAATTCCATCTCTCTCATCACTAACTTGGCCTTTGCACATCCTCTCTNTAAAGTTCAAATGAATTCAACTTCGAAGTCCCTATTTTTTCACACATCCCCGTCTAATGTCCTCATCTCATGTTTTTCCCATCTCCATCTGTCCGTCTCTTTCTCTCTCGCACTCTCTCTTTGATGCACTCTCAATTCCATCTCTCTCATCACTAACTTGGCCTTTGCACATCCTCTTTNCTACGCACTCATATATAATATATTATATATAAATTGAACACAACTTTCCAAAAAAGAAAAATGAAGGAAATGATTTCTTCATTGAGCGCAAAACAAAATAAAAAAGAGAAGGGAAAACTACCATGTATGATCATCTACAATCAGGCCGGTTCATAAGCTAGATCATTTGAGTACCAAACCCACCCAAGTCTCGTTGAATTGGTTACTGGCCAATCTTTGAACCAACTGTTCAAATTGGACAGTTTTAGGCAATCCGGGTGGTTCATGGAATCCTATGGAAATTAGATTTTTGCCCAATATCGCTATCTACTTTCTCAATTTGATATCTCATCTTAGTGGCTCATCCTCTCTCGTCTCTCTAGCATGGCCTTTGCACTCTCAAACTCTCTTCGTCACTAGATCGTCTTAGCCTAGGAGTCACCACAATCATCGTGTCAAATATGTTTATTTTCATGGTCACCTTTCTCAAAGTCGATCGTCTCATGTCTTTGGCTTGAATCGAAGAAGGTGAACAATTTTGCTTCATTCTCTACATTTCCTTCACTTGATAGTTGACACAGGTACTTCATCGTCGTCTCTCTCATTCTCCCTCCCCCTCTGCTAGTCTCAATATTTGTACTCTTAGATAGTGATTGTTCATTGTTGTGTTCTACAATTGTATTTGTATGCTTGCAGTTGATTTTTTGCCTTTGGTTAATTATTTTGTGAATATCGAAGTTATTTCAGCAAAAAATTTGAAAATTTTGGCCTATTTTTTGTCACTCATGTTGTTGAATTGTAATTTGGTATGGTATTTGTTTAAAGTTCAAATGAATTCAACTTCGAAGTCCCTATTTTTTCACACATCCCCGTCTAATGTCCTCATCTCATGTTTTTCCCATCTCCATCTGTCCGTCTCTTTCTCTCTCTCACTCTCTCTTTGATGCACTCTCAATTCCATCTCTCTCATCACTAACTTGGCCTTTGCACATCCTCTCTTGTCTTAGTGGCTCATCCTCACTTGTCTCTCTAGCTTGGCCTTTGCACTTTCAAACTCTCTTCGTCACTAGATCATCTCAGCCCAGGAGTCACAACCATCATCGTGTCAAAAATATTTATGTTTCATGGCCACCTTTCTCAAAGTCGATCGTCTCATGTCTTTGGCTTGAATCGAAGAAAGGTGAACGATTTTGCTTCACTCTTTGCATTTCCTTCACTTGATAGTTGACGCGGGTACTTCATTGTCATCCCTCTCCCTCTCTCCCTCTCTCTATCTTAATC